GGTCAGGAGCAGTCCAGACTCAAAAGGGCTGCCTTTTTGGGTCCAAAGGTAAGCATTTCACAGACATGGGCTAAGCATGATGCTGTCCTTTGCAAGACTGAACGTTGACATGGGCACAGGAAGTGGCTCTGGGCTGCAGGGGATGGGAAGACGAGATGCCCAGCGGGCGCCCTGAAGAGCTGGGCAGTCAGCCCCCAGGGAAGGGTTGGCCGGACTCACGGCCCTTGAGACATCTCTGGCACCTACCTGAAACCAGACCCACCTGCGGCTCTGACAGGGCAACCTTGGAGGAAAGAAGCTCCCACCACCTGATGCCTCCAACCCCAGGGGGTGGGGGCGGTGGCTTCCTGTGAGAGAGAGTACAGCCTTCATTGCAAAAGTCAGATTTACCAAAGATGGATAAAAGATAGGCCAAAAATATGCTTGTGCCTTTTTTTCTTTTCTGAGATAGTTTTTTAGAAAAACCTAGGAAACCACATGCCATGCTGTCTTGGTTGTTTCTATGCCAGCTTCCAGTACAAATGAAATATAGAAATTTCCAGGCTGTTGGCCATCCATTCTCATGGCCTGGGGTTTTCTTGATACTTGGAGAATTCTGTTCTCGTGCAGGCGTCTGTTTGAGGAGGAAATGCCTCTGCTCAGCCAGAGCCTGGGCCCTGCAGCTCCCAGCAGGGTAGTGCCAGGCAGGCCGGGGACCTGCCCTGCTCATCCTGACTCTTGGGTTGGGCTTGCTGATGCTCCTCCTTTTTAGAGGGATTTTAGCTCCCTAAACACCTGCAACACAAAGAGATCCGTAAAATTGGATTAAACAGGGGAAATATGCCCACCTTGAGGAGCAGTGGCACAAGAGGGAAGTGCTCACTTCTTGTCCGAGAGAGATGCACACGAGCACCTTGGGGAGACAGGTTCGTTGCAGTCAGATGCTGGGAGGAATCTCATGTGGGCACACACTTAGGACTAATCAAGGAGAGGTGTCCCCGACAACCCATGCACCTCCCCCCCCACCGCAAACTCAAGGTGGGCTGGTGCTGGCAACTGGACTCCTCACAGGGCCTGCTGGTCAGTCTCTGGCCACGGCCTGGCTGGAAAGAACAGTGGTGCTGCCAAGCAGGTGTGTCATGTATGACTACGTCAGCGCACGAGTGCTTTTACCTGCTGCCTTAGATTGTGTCCCTAGAAGCAGAGCCTGAGCTGGGGGTTCTTGTGCAAGCGATTGGTGGAGGGAGGCTCCCAGGGGAGCCTAGAGGACAGGGAAAGGCTGATCTAAGAGGTGGGCTCAGCTGAAGTCCAGCCTCAGCCTGGCGCCCGAGGAGCTCTAGAGTGTGACTGGCACCTGGGATTTGATCCTGCCCACCACAAGGGGCAGCTCCTGTACCTGTATCAGTTGGTCATTGGTTGGGGGCTGCCTCAGTGGGGGGATAAGCTCCTGGGCTTCCCTGCCCAGAGCAGTTGTAGAAGGGGTAGCTCTGAGCTGTCAGCAGCCAACACTCATGGCAATGGAGAGCGTGCGCGTCTGTGCATTGAGGGATTCAGGCGGGGCACCCTCAGCCCCCAGTTAGCCTCTGTTTCCTCTCATGATCCTTGCAACAGCCCAGCCAAGCAGCCGGGCCAGAGACAACATTCCTGTTTCCCAGGTGAGGAAACAGGAAGCAAAGCCGCTTGATCAGTGGAGGAGCACAGTCCCTCCGACCTCAGAATCCACATTCCCCACACACCGCAACAGAGTCCTCTTGGTTCGGGGGCATGTCGGGGCCCAGGGAGTGAGAGGAACACTATGTCCTCCTTGGGAGAGGCAACCAGGACTCAGGGGAGCTGCCCTTGTCCCAGACGCCCACTCCTGCATGTGGGGACACTGTTCCTGAGTCTGGGGACTCCTAGCCCCCAGACCACACTCCCAGAGAAATCCTGCTGCTTCCCCTGCTCTCCCAGGCCTTTCCCCTCATGGCCCAGGGGAGGCTCTAGGTCAGTACTGATAAAACGTGGGGTTTAGTTCAGCTCAGAAGATGTTTCTGAAGTTCCTCCTACATTCTGGCCTTGCTGGCCTAGGGAGCAGTAGCACTGGGCAAGTAGAATGAGCACATGGGCCTGAGGCTCAGCAGGGCGGGTGGCTGTCAGCATGGGCAGCAGTGTGGAGCTGTGTTATGTTAACATGTCTCCTGAGGGGGGATTTGGATTTCAGCTTGTACCTAGATGGCAAAGACCAGGCCACCCTAGTCTCTATCTCCAGGGCCCGGCCCGGGGCTGCCTACTCAGAAGGAAGATACAGGAACACATCTGCACAGAAAAGCCCTGCAGAAGATGGGGCCATTTCTCCTAGCTGGGAAGCCCGGGGAAGATTGGGTGGGGAGGGCTGAGCCAGAAACTCCAGCTGGGGCCAGCAGAAGTGGCCGTGGCCTCTGTTGTGGCTGGCCAGAGCTGAGGTCTGGGAGGTCGGATGGAAAAGCTAGACTTTCAGGGGCTTCCTTCCAAGGTCACGTCTATAGCAGGCTCTAGGAGTGGAGTCCTGACCTGTGTCTCTAGCCACTAGCCTGAGGCCACATAGACATTTCCCATTGAGCTTGTTACCTGGGCAGGCCTGTGCCAGAGTAGATGGCCTGTCCCTGGGCCAGGGCTGGGCCCCAAGAGAACAGAAGTTGGTGAGTGAACAGACATGGCTAATTCCTAAGGGCTGGTGGCCTCTGGGCCTCCTCACCCACCTAGAACCTGTTCACAGCACGCCATGTGTGGTGCTTGGGCTTAGACTGGGTGTGACTGTTTGTTCTCACACACCAGACTGACTCCTCTACAGACAGAGGAGCGGCTGCTCCGCCAGTGAAAGGCTGGGCCTGGCTCCCTGCACTCCCGAGTCCTTGGCGGGTCCTGGCCTTACCCCAGGGCCTCCTGTCCAGGGACACATGGGTTGGGGCTGCCCAGGCTGGGCCATCTTCTCTCTGTTTTGTGCCCCCTACTCAGTTCTCCTTCTGTCCTGGCTCAGGTCTAGGCCAGTTGCGGGAGCGGCTGAGAGACGGAAGAGGCCTCAGAGCCCGCTCCGTCACAGGCTTCTGGCCTCGGCCCTGCCACGCAGCAGGTTTGCTTCAGGAATTGCTCGTCCTTCGTCCAAGCCTGCCCTGGTCTGTCGAGGATCTTGGGGGCCATTTTACATGAGCTGCCACCTCTAGCTTTCTGCTGTGGTGGGGGAGGGAAGGTGTGCCATGCACACCGGGGCAGCATTAAACCGCCATGGCCCAGCGGGGCTCCTTCTGTGGCGTGGTCAGGCATCTCGGGTCTGACTGGTGGCCCTGCCCTCTTTCCTCAGTCCAATGCTGAGCTCCCCCCACCCCCGTATCTCAGCCTTCACCTTTCTCAGTAAATCGAAAGATTCCAAGAAAAGCAAACCTATCAGGACAGTTTCCTCCGTGGAATGTTCAGGAACAATGAGCGTGCCCACAGCATGCACAGCCACCTTCCTCCAGAGAGAGCGCCTTTTATTTTCCTTTTGCTGAGGGCTGTTTCAATAGTTTGTTCGCTGTGACAGCCGGTGGTCATCTTTATTTCAAAGCAACACACAAACACTGCAGCCTTTGAAAGGATCAGGGCCCCCGGGACAGGTCTGTGATCCTGGCATCGGCGGGCGTGCGGCCCGGGAGGCGGCAGGTGATCCGAGCCTTTGCTCCCCGGCCCCCACTCATGAGCCCGAATGCCTCTCCCTTGCCTTGGTGCGTGGCTGCTTCATTGTGTCCCTCTGAGGCGGGAACTCGTTGCTGCTGGTCCCGTTGGCGATCTGGGCTGAGAGCGCCCCTCGCTGTCTCAGCCTCTGTCCTGTCTGCCGCCGGACCACGCTTCTGTCTCTGGGGAGGAGAAGGCCTGATGTTGTGCTCTGCCGCGAGAGCAGGTGTTGAACTGCACCGCCGGCGCACAGTGTCAGGCCTGCGCTCTCTTGCTGGCGGGTGGTTCCAAGCACGGTGGGCCAGTGTACCCTTGAAGTCCTCTTCGAGCCACACCCATGCTAGGGCAGGCCCCAGGCCAGCCGCCACACAGAGGCAGCACTTGGCAAGCGGGGAAGCTCTTGGGCAGCCATGTTCTCTCTCTGGGGCCGCACGGAGCCCTGCGAGGCAGGCAGGGACCATCACGCGCCTCTTACAGATGAGATGGCTGAGAGCTCTGCCTGAGGCTCCCAGCTGTGAGCACCAGAACCTGGAGTCTGCCAGGCTCCCCCCCAGCAGACCCCCGCCACGCCCCAGTGCCTGTGGAAGGCACAGGGCCACTTCCCTCTGGAGTCAGCATCCCCAGGTGGGGTCCAGAACTCAGATTCGGACCAGCTCCCTGGATGGTTCTGGTGTGCACCAGGCTTGGGACGTCAACTTAGTCCCTCCTGGCCCCATCTCCCCCTCCCTGGCCGTGGGAAGTGGACGGGGCGGGCATTGTGTCCCGCCATGGGCAGCAGTGCAGCCCGGCCGCTTTCCACCTAACTCAGGCCCCTTCTCAAGGGAACGTCGCTGTGTGCGCTGCTGCTGTGCGCTGTGTGACGGCCACGTTGGCGGCCCCCTACCTGACTGCATACTTTACTCAACTGTCATTATGGGGGGTTGGGGCTACTGTCTTCTTTTCCATTTAACTTTGTGACTAGGACTGTTTATGTTGCTGAATTTTTACATGCATCTTAAACTTTTCTTAAGATAAAAATCCTAGTAGTGAAACTACCTAGGCAGGGAATCCTATGTTTTCACCAGGTCACCCTCCAGAAGGGCTGTGCACAGCCTCTCAGACCTGGGGACTCGCGAGTCTCCGTTCTTTACCAGCTTAGTGGGTGAAAAATTGAATTTTGTGTTTCTTTATTAGCACAGAATGCTCATCAGCCAGAGTGTTTCTTCAGGAGCGAGTTGCTGATGGCCCCTCGTCCTTGCCCGGATGGTGGAGGAGCGTAGGATTTAGGAGTCTTTGCCACAGCCTGCGGGACCGATGGCTTTGTGGGGCATGCAGTCCTGGAGCCCCTGGTAACCTGTGTGTCTGCCTCTCCACAGAACTGCCAGACCTTCAGCAGCCTCAGCTGCCTGAGTGCGGGGACGGAGGACTGCAGCCCCCAGAGCCCCTTCGCCCTCCATGCCAGCAGCACCAGGGCCTGGACCACCTTGCTCTCGGCCTCTGGCCCAGGGGGCAGGACCCCTGCCGGGACCCCCGTCCCCGAGCCTCCTCCCCACTCCTTCGATGACCAGCTTACCTGCCAGGAGGACCTGTCCTGTGAGGAGTCAGACGGCTGCGCCCTGGACGAGGATTGCAGCAGGAGAGGGGAGCTGGCCACAGCCTGGCGGGACCATGGGGCCGCCGGGAACAGCCTCTGCTCCCTGGATGGAGAGCTGGACATTGAACAGATAGAGAACAACTGAGGGCGGTGGGCCCCGCTCAGGGTTGGGGGTGCGTCGAAATCGATGGGCCTCGGTGGCATTGGAAGGGGGAGCCCAACTCCTGGGCCTGATGAAAGTTTTCCTGAGAGGTGCTGGGTCCCGGAGAGGGAGCCTGCCCACCTCCCAGGAAGAGGCTGTCTGGCCACGGTGTCCTGGCTCTGCCAATGCTAGCCTGACATGCCGTGCAGTGGGGTGTGTCAGCCTCTCCCCAGCTACCCAAGCATGGTGGCCACCAGGTCCACAGAGCCACTGCAGCCCAGAGAGCAGCTCTTCAGTTTGGGTCTCTCTGCCGCCTTTCTTGTAGGATGTCAGGCAGTCTGTGTCATTTCCCCAGCAGAGCTGGGCGCCTGTCTGCATCCCCTGGGCAAGGTTGGCAAGAGGGCCTGGGCTCGGGGCAGGGCCAGGGGCCATCTGGATGTCGGGCCCGTCTTGGCCTCGCTCAGGTTCAGTGCTGGGGAGTTGGCCCCGCAGCTTCTTTCACTCAGTTTTATTCCGTGCCTTCTCTCCCAGGCCTCCCTGCTTCAGGCTTGGGAAGGTTCCGGAGATGCTTCCTTCTGTAGTGACACCAGAACCATTTGGCCTTAATTCCAAGTGTGGGAGGCGGAGATTCTGGGGTGCTGGAGCGGCCCTCCAGCGGGTAAGTCCGTGTTTGAACTCTTGGGGCCCAGGGAGCGACGTGGGGGTGCTTGTTAGAGGCTGTCCACACTGGGTAGGAATTTCGTGAATCCGCTGGCTGAACAGATACTCACTTGCCTCTCCTGTGGCATGGAGAGCCTGACCCGAGGCTCTGCCACATTGGGGGCTGCCTTGGCAGGGCTGGCAGATGGCAGCCCTTCTCCGTGGCTAGCCAGTCACTAAGGGATCAGTTTGGTTGATCGAGGTGAGTGTAGAGATTTCACAATAAAAGGGCGACCTCTTGAAAACTTCCTCAGGCAATAAGAGCTATGAACAGGGGCCCAGGATGGGGGGCCTGAGCCCCCTGCAATATTCCAAGCACATTCTCATTTGTTTGGGGGCTGCTAGCTTTAAGGCACACCATCCACCTCAAGACGGGCCCACACCCATGTCAGCTGAGGGCCTCCCAGCGCTAAATGCTGCCTCGATGCCGTGGGCCCAGCCGTGGGCAGAGCTCTCTCCGCACCCACGCCCTCCCTGGCTCCTCGCAGCTGGTGTGGTCCCCAGCATCATGAGGGGCCCCCACCCCCGAGGGTTTGCTCTGGGGCAGCTCCCCTCCGGCCTGCCTTGCAGACGTGCCTGCCACATGGGCTCTGCTCTCTGGGAATCTGGCTTTTAGCAAACTTGGCATCTTCTGCAGACAATAGCAACTGGGCTGGCTTGTGAGTGAGTGGCGCATTTTCCCATACGGCTAAAAATAACTAGTGCGTTCTCTTGAGTTTGCTGACACGTGATAAAGGCACTTTTGTAGTCACTTTGCTTTTGCTCGTCTTCTGTGGACGAGTGAATGCCTCACTTCTGCAAGTTGAGTCCAAATGGTTCTCACCTTTTTCCTAAAGAAAGACCCTGTTTGGGAAACTTTGTTTAAACCTTCACTTTTTACTACATCAAAAGGGTGGTGGCTCAAGGTCTGGTATGTGGGTGGCGTTTCTTAAAAATCAGCCATAAGATGCTTGCAGAAAGCCCCCACCCCAGTGGCCCAGGTTGCAGAGCCTGGACGTGCCAGGCACTGGGCAGGTGCCAGAGCAGGTGACCAGTTCACCTGGGTTTGCTGTAGCTCCTGCCAGAGGCACAGCCACCTGGGACCCTGGAGAGCCAAAGCAGGGAGCTGGCGGCTCCGGGTAACAAAGAGATCTCGCCTGATCCCTGCCGGTTGGTCCTGTGGACCGTGTCTTCTTAGAGCCAATCTGGGGGAAGCGGGGACAGTTGGGTGAATGTGGGGAGCACAGGCCAGTGTCTCGTGTCCTCAGAAAGCCTGGGATGGGGGGTCCTGGCACCTGGAGTGGCCATGCTGTGGCAGGGAGGAGGGCAGTGCTAGCCCAGGTCAGGGGTGCGGCAGCCCCCAGGTGCCTTTGCTCAGGACCAGGGGGGCACTCATGGTGGCCAGTGTGATCATAGGGCTGTAGTATGACCTACCCTCAGACCCTGTCTGCCACCTCCCCCTCAGGCCTGGTGGCAGGGAAGGACAAGCAGTGCAGTTGGCCAAGTCATGGCCTCACCCTCCCCACGTCACACCAACCAGCAAGCCCAGCGCAGGCACTTGCAGGCAGAGGTGATCCAGCCCGCGGCAGGCTTTGGCCCTTCCCAGCCTCCTCAGGCGCCTCCTGGCCGTTCCTGCCTCCACCGCGGCTCCTGGCCCGAGCCCAGGCCCACAAGCAGCAGCAGTTAGGGGAGAAAACAGCAGGTGTCCCTTCTGCTTAGAGGAAGAATGGCCTTCAGTTGGTCTCGTGTTTGTCTTTTGACTGGAGAGAGCAGACCCCATCTAGAAGGTGCCACCCCCATCACCTGAGCAGCCGCGCTGCCCACAGAGGCCCGTTCCCGCACTCCACTCTGCCGGCCCCGGGACTTTTGGTCTTGGAGCTCTTGGAGGGAGGCTCACCCAGGGGACAGCCCCCACATGGTTGTCCCCATGGGGCAGTGGATGGTGGGCAGGCTCTCCCCACAGGTGGCCCCAGCTGATGGCAGCTGCAGGAGCCTCACTTTTTTCACAGCCCTGGCCGTGAATCCTGCCTCTGAGGGGAAACTAAGGAAGGGCAGGGCCAGGCCGCCCGCCTGCCCAGGGCCCTGAAGGACGAGAGTGGGCTGTGGCTCCAGGACAGCTGGTTGGGAGGAGGGGCACACTGCCACACGGCGTCCCCACTCGCTCCAAAGCCACTCAACTACCAGGACCCGCTGTGTGCCTGTGTGGGATCCGGCGGGGCCGGGCTGCAGCCTCACCGTTTACATTACCGCAAACCCTCTTGCCTTACACGCGGTAGAGGCCGGAGCGGCCCAAGGCCCCCGGCAGACACCCATCCAGGCCCACAGGGAGCTCGTTCTGACCAGACTTCCAGATTTTCATTCTCAGAAAGCCTTACTTTTCAAAAAAAGTTTTTGTAGCAGGAAAGTTTTATGAATTTGTACACTGAAAGAAAATTTAAATAAAAGTCCACATTAAAAACAAACCCCAATTTCCCAATGGGGCTCCTAGTGCGGGGGGTGTGGGACCGGCCATGCCCTGGCTGTGCCGTCTGAGCAAGCTTCCCCTGCGAGCGAGACACTCCCTGGATCCCGTGCCGTGGGCAGCCGCGCCCCCGTTTCCACTGCGGAGGGTACAGTCACGTGTGCTCTGTGGCCACAGGGGTGGTCACCTGAACGATGACCGCGGTAGACACTAGCCGCCTGGGACAGGGCAGCCCGGCCAAGGGTAGCTGGTGCGGTCCAGGCACTCTGGCCCCCATCCAGGCAATGATGCCACACCTTGCCACGTCCACGCTGTTGGTCAAACCCCTCCCACTGGCGCCAGTTTGAGAAAACCATGCCTCTTTAAAGAGAGAAGAGAAAATGTTTTTTTTAAAAAATTGCAGACCGAAGTGGAGATCTTGTAGCCTAGGTAGGATAGTTTGACCTTCTAGCATAGTCTCTTTGGCAAATGATTTGTGTTTTCAGTGCGTGGAGGAGATGTCCGGGGGACAAGGGTGACAGATGGCACACAGGCTATTTCTAGGGTTGTAGTGAGCTTTCCCAAACCAGATGTTGGTGTTGCAGAGCTTCAGGAAGTGTGGCGACCAGAGGTGCAGTGTTCGGCCAGGCCCTGGCCCGGGGGCAAAGTGGTCTGCATGCTGAGAGCCTGGGCCTCTGCCTGCCCCCTGCCCCCCCCACACCGCAGCCTGTCCTCCCTGCACAGGCCACGACTTGCACTAGAGCCGCTCTAGTCTCTCAGGAATTTGCTTGTTACTTTTACTGTGTAAATAAAGCTTCCTGGTTCGATGTCCAGCTGCCTGGAGCCGGCTGCGTGGTTCTGTTGGGTGGGATGAACTAGCAGGTCTCCCCTCTGCCCATGGGGGCACTAGCTCTGGGCTGGGAGGGGCGCAGACGGGACTTTTTTGTCCCCTCGAAGCCTCAGGGTCGGGATCCATAAAATGGGGCCAGCAGACAGTCACAGGGCTGGGAGGGGCTGAGACCCAGGGCGGCCATAGCGGAGCCCTTCTAGAGGCAGTGGCAGGAGGTGGTGTCTGTGTGCACTTTGGGGGTGGAGGAGCCCAGCCCCTCAGTCCAGGAGCTGGGGACCCCAGGAAAGCAGAGGGGAGACACTCCCTCTGACTGGCATGGGGAGGAGCCGCCTTTCCCCGCACAGCCTGCCCTGGTGGCCCATCAGCTCTGCCGCCAGCCATGCTGAGAGGCAGGGCTACGGCCACCTACCCACCAAGGTCGCCCAGGAGGCAGTTCGGAGGGGGCCACCGGCTCAGGGCCTTGCCCCAGCGGGGCAGTGCAGCTCGGACCTCTGCTGCTTGGGCCGTGGGGACATCAGAGCACGCAGCTCAGCCCAGCATGGGTTCACACACCCCGTGTCTGGCCCTCGGGCTAACCAAGCTCAGGAGATGCAGGGGGTTTGCAGCCTTGAGGACAAGCATGAAGAGGTTTGTTTAATTTCCGTAACCCAACGTTTTCCCACATAATCTGACCACAGAATTTCTGCCTAGAACGTTAGGTCCTGAGGATCCCACTCTGGGAATGAGGCTCTGCCTTCTTAGCAGCAGATCCTTTCCCAGACAGAGCGGTCCCTGAACACCTAGCTCAAGAAACAGGCGAGCCCTCGACCCTACCCCAGTGGCCTCGCAGCACCCAAGGCTCAGGGCTGACCTGAGGCAGGGTGGGTGGACTTTCCCAGCCGGCCCCCTCATCCAGGGGAAGCTTCTGCCAAGCACACTGCCCCGCTACGTGTCCCCCACCTGGGGATGGGGCACAGTGGCCCTGGATGAACCTCTGGTCCCCAACAGCCCCTTACCCCTACCCCGACCAGACAAGGGCCCTGGCTGGGCTCCAGCCTTGGGCTGGCCTGTTGCAGCTCCGCTCTGCCCAGCCGTGACCCCTGGCTCCCTGCGCTGGCACCTTCCCCCCGTGGCTGCATCTTCCTGCACCTGGAAGTTGGCTGAATCTGGGACTCCACCTCCAGGCACAGGCTCCGGGGCTCTCTGGGCAGGCCCCGGCCCCACCCCCACTGCGTGCCCAAGCTGGGCCAGCCCACAGGCACACGTGGGGTGCCGGCTGTGGACACTGGGCACGTGCTCTCTCTGAGCAGTCTCATCTGTAAACGGGTCATAATCCTCGTGGGCTTCCGTGAGAGGATCAGTGCAAACGCCACCACCACACTGGACGAACAGCACAGCCCGGAGTGTGCACAGGAGGAGGGCTGAGAGAGAGAAGGCCAGAGGACTGGACGTGCCCGACACAGTAACAGTGGTCAGACTCTGAGTGACTGCCGGTTGCTTTTCATCCACTTTTCTGTTACATTTCCTACAATAATATGTATTGCCTTCATAATCTAAAAAAAAAAAATCAGAACTTTAAAAAATAAGAATGCGAAGTGCGCAACGTATTTACCATCTGAACCAGGACAGTTGTGAGAGGGAAAGCCGGAGCTATTGGTGACCACTCTGGGACAGAGGCAATGCCCCACCCGTGTGCCACACACAACCGTCCCTCCCTGCGTCCTCATCTCTGCCCTAAGATGAACACGCAGGAGTCTTTCCACCTGCCAGCTGCCCACCGGCTTCCCTAAGAGGGGCAGGAATGGCCCAGTGGGAAGGACCCAGGACAGCAGTGGCAGGTCAGGGCTCAGCCTTCCTGATCCTTGGAGGGTTTCAACCCAAACTGAAGGAGGGGAGAGAAGAACTCGAGTCACCTGGCCGATGGCCCAGTTCCCAGTCAAGGCCGGTGAGATGAAGGCGTGGATGCCCACTGTCCCCAGTCCTCCGTCTGGTACCACATGTCTACTGCTCTCTTGCGGGAGTCTGGGTGGGGCGCAGGTTGCACCCCTGCCCCGGGTCAGCCTGGTCTCTGCTGGTCTGAGTCCTCCTGGGCCTTTTCTGCCGGCCCTGGGGTGGCTAAGGAGGGGAACCTGGGGGTGTGGGGCCATCTTCCCTGCTGAGTGGCTGAGATGCGGAGGATGGGCCCTTGTATTCCAACTCTAGAGAGGATGCCAGTGCACGGGCTCAGCTGGAAAGTCACAGCCACCGGGGCCGCCACAGACATCCCCCATGGAAGGATTTCCAGCAAGGATGGGGGGCAGCGTTACAGAAGGGACTAGAAAGGGATGGCATGTGGGGTCAGACTTTCACTCGGGCACAACTCTGCCCTTACTGTTGGCCCTTGGGGGGGGGGGTCACTTCGTCCCTCTGCTCCTCGGCCTCTATCTGTAAAGTGGGAAGAGTGACAACGTGCACTTCACCGCGCCCACTGCCGCTCCGAGGGCGGCAGTTCTGCCCTAGACATGGCAGTGGTCTGCCCCCCAGGAGCTGTTCCTCTGCACCCCACTCTAGGCAGCAACTTAGAAGAGGAGACTTGGCTTGTCCGGAGCGAGAGCCCTTCCCCAGGGCACTGCCCTGCTGCAAGGGACGCCCACTCAGAGCAGGAGGAAAACCGAAGACCCACCAAACACACCCAGGAGCACGCCGCGGTGCCCTCCCAGCCACTGTGGAACTACAGCCCAGGCCTGACGTCGCTCCCAGTCCCTCTCCTGACAGCTGTCATCAGGGGACTCCGCCCAGGAGAAAGTCATTTGCATACTCACCAGCTAATAGGCCACAGTGCCAATGACACTAACCTGGCCAGTGCCTCTTATTTTGATGAAAAGACGTGGCCACCGTGGCCTCCTAATCCTGATTTAATGGTGCCCAGCCTGGTCAGACACTACGTCCCCCACCGCTCTCAGCCACTGTGCCGGGGCCAGCACTTCCTCACTGCCGCCTTCATTTAACGGAGATCCTGTTACGGAGGACCCATGACTTCTTTCACGAGACACTGTCTCCCAAGATTTGTTGGTGGCTTTTGAGTTGATTCGGGGAGGAACAGAGCAATTGAGTTATCTGTTCAACTGATTGATTTTGAAACCTGAAACTTCGGTTATGAGTGAATTTGGTCCCAGAGGCCTCAAGGGGACGTCGCTGCTCCCTTGGTCTGGAATGAGACGCTCGCCCCCGCCAGGCCTCCAGCTGCTCTGTTAGGTAAGGCAGCTGCACCTTTTGCCCTGGTCAGCCTTGTCCCAGGTAGGGCGAGGGCAGCCCACTGTCCCCTCAGGGCTCAGTCTCCCCATCTGTTCCACAGAGGGGCCAGAGCAGGTGAGGTGTTCCAGGGCCCTTGCCCCGCGGATGTTCGGTGGCATGGGCACATGGCAGAACCAGGGACAGTGCCGGGGACACTGCTCACGGCCTCCTCCCATGCAGTCCTTCCCAGCAGTCAAAGCACGAGGCACAGGCTGCTGTTCATGGCAGAGTTTATTGAGCCCCTGGGCTGCTCCTGCACACGCTGGGCACGACACCTTCCAGTCTACCCAGTTATGGCGCCACCACCCACAACCTGGGAAGCAGGGGTTGGTTCTCGCTCTGTAGGATGGTGGTCTTCAAAGTGCCTTGGCAGCTGGCCCCAGTCTCTGTGGGGGGCTGGCATGGTTTGGGGGAGGGCTGGGCAGTGCCAGGGGGGTGGCTTGGCTCTGGGCCGCACGAGCTGTGCGCGGGAGCCACTGGGCTTTCTCCAGGCCCCTCGCTTAAATGCAGCATCCGATGAAGGCAGCGGGCACGAGGCCTCGGGATGGGATGAGGTGGAGGTTGCTGCCTTGCCAGGATCAGGGGAAACAAGAGTGAGTGAACTCAGGGATCCAGGACATTCCCAGAGGCACCTTCCAGCACAAGCCCAGAGGGTTTCCACTCTCCAGAGGCTGACAGGTCTGTCCCACCCTCCTGGACTGCACTGAAGGAGCCAAGGGCAGGGCCCGGGCAGGGGAGCGGGCAACCCGGGCAGGGAGCAGGCCTCCCCAGGAGGCCGGGGCCAGCGGACGGAGGCAGAGGAAGGGCTGGCTGGCTCAAGCCTGGGGGCAGGGCAGTCCAGAAGGGCCCTTGCCTGCCCAGGAGGGGCAGAGGGCAGAGGGTGGTCTGGGCACTGGGGCAGGTGGAAGGAGGCTGGGGCCCTCCCAGGAGGCCCGTCACTTGTCCGCGTGCTGCAGCAGCAGGGCCACGGCCTCCGCGAGGTTGTCCACATACCCGTCAGGCTTCACCTCCGGATGGTGCTCGTCCGTGGGCCTGGAGAGTACGGCCACACGTTAGTCAGTGACCCCCAGGGTGACCCGTCTGAAGCCACAACCCGGGGGCTTCAGGGAAGCTGCCTCCCAGCATCTAGCACTGGCCTGGCCTTTCCCTGAGGAAACCTCCAGGCCCTCCGTGCCCTGCGGGCAGCCGGCCGGTGGCCCACCCAGCTCAGGCACACACGCCTCCCTCCCGCTGTCCCCTCTGCCCGGACGGGTCCCCAAACCTGGCTTGGCCATGCCTCCAGCAGAAGAATCTTGAACCGGTTGAGGACAGGGGCGTGAGAGCACCCTGCTCTGAGCACCCTGGGGGCCCCCCACACCCCCGGCCTGGCCCCGTGCCCAGTGGGAGGAGCCCCGTTAGTGTGCTGTGGGCACAGCCAGGGATGGAGACCCAGAGCCCCGCCTGCCCAGACGCACACGCCATCTGCTCCCTGCCCTCGGAGGCTGCTCCCACGTGACAGAAGCGGCCCCGGCTCCTGGGAAAGCTACTCTCTGGCTGGGATCCTGGGGGCGGAACCACCCCAAAGCCTTTATCCATTCCCCAGACTCCTCCCCACATCTGGCTGGATGCTCAGGGGCCTAGGGGGCCTGCCTGGGCACTTCGTGCACAGGGGGGCCATGGGCCGTGTCAGGGCAGGCTCGTGGGGACATCCCAGAGGCCAGGCAGTTGTTTAAGGAAGTGGGACCTCATCCCAGGCCATGGGCAGCCCTGATAGGGCTTGAGCCAGAGCCAGGTCCTGTCCACCGCAGGCCCCCCCACGACACTGCACCCAGAGAGGCCCGGCGGGAGCTTGGCAGGAAGTGGGGCCTGTCCCTCTGCAGACCTAGCACTGCTGAGGGACCTGCTGCTAGATCACCCCAAGGCCTGACCCAAGCTCCCTGAGAAAGCAGAGAGACCACACCCTGCCAGCAGCCAGCACCGCCACCTCGGAAGCTCCCACCCTGGTCTGGAAGGAAGTGGTTGAAGTTGGTTCTGACAACGTCAAAAAGCCAAGCTGGCCCTTTCAGAGGGTTTGGTTTCTGCACAGGGCTTTACCCTACAGTGACTGACATGGGCAACCCTCTCTTTTAAAGGGTCTTCAGCTCAGTGGCCTGGAGGCCACCTCCTGGCACGGAGAAGCCCCCCCAAGGGCTGCGGGGGCGGCTGTCCTGTGCAGGGGGAGGGTGCACCACACCCCCCCAGAGCGCCCTCTTGTGAGGGGCTGCAGCCGCCTCCACTCCTGCAGGGTCCCGGGCGCGGCACCCACAGGTCTCGCATCCATTTCCTCTTACGTCCTCCGTGGAAGAGGTGGCTGCCCTCACCTTGAACGGCGGAGGAAATGGCTCAGAGAGCTTCAGAGACTTGCTCAAGGTCACACAAAAGGGAAAAGCAGAGCTGGGATTTGACCCAGTTCTACTCCCAGCCAGTGTTCTGGGTGCCAGAGCTTCCACGAGCTTCCACGGCGGCCCCACCCCCCACCCAGAAAGGGCGACAGGGTCGGCAGTGCCGACTCCCAGCACAGAGGCCACCTGCACACACCAGTGCCAGTGGCGTCGCTCCTCTGGCCCTCCACAGGGTGGCCACCCGCTGTCCGGTGCCATGGAGGGCCCCTGATGCCCCCAGAGGTGAGGCCCCGCACTGCAAGCCCTGGGGACGGGATGAGCGCGAGGGGACCCTCACCACTACCCACGCCCTCAGCAGCCCACCCGCGGATAACTCTCACGTCAGTGCAGGCATTTGAGGGGATTATCATTCCATGCTTCCATCCCGTGACGGCACCAGGATGTCCTCGATCTGGTGAAAGTGGGAATTGAAGATTTCCGTTATCCTACATCAGCGCCGAGATGCGTACTCGGCACTGTTGAAGGTCTCCTAGGGTACGACCGCCACTGTGGTAAACGGCCTGGCGCCCACTCTGATTGCACTCCCCACTGATCGCACTCCTAGGTGCATACACGAGAATGCATGGACTAGAATGTTCCAAGCAGCTTTAGCTGTAATAGCAAGAAAGCAAACACTGCGCAAATGTCCATCAGCGGGAGGATGGAAGGACAGATCGTGGCAGACTCGCGCCTTGGAACACTCTCCACACAACAGTCCGCTGGGTGTGTCACCGCCGCACACAGCCACGCGGGTGTCAGCCACACTCCAGGGACACAGACTGGGTGGTTCCGCTTACACAGAGGCCAGGCTCTGGCGAAAGTGGGCAGTAGCAAAGAGGACAGGATAGTGGTTACTTCTCGGGATGTGATTGGGGGTGCTGGGAGTGTTCTAGATCTTGACCTGGGTGGGGCTGACAGGGGTGGACACATGAAAATGCATCATACTGTTCACTTTTAGTGCACTTTACAAATGTTATACCTCAACATTGAAAGGCCACGTGCGATGCCTGCAAACACAAGGCTCCTCTGACCAAGGCTGGCGATCGCGGGGCCCCTGCCGCCTGTGTGTATGCTTTCACACGGTTGTGAAAAGAAAGACGATGCAATGGAGACTAAATGCAGCCCGCAAAGCCTGAACCATTACTCTCTGGGCCCATTCACAAGAGGCTCGGCCCCCTGGTCCTGGCCTGTCCCTGTCCCGTGGGTCTCTCTGGACAGGTTCTTCCTCCTGGGAACCCGGTGCTCCTGCCCCAGCCTCTGCTGAAGCAGGCGGCTGCGAGCTGCACAGACGCCCCTGCCCTGGTACAGATGAGGGCTGGGCAGGGGTATGAGGTCCCCCCGGGGCTGCTGATGTGCCCCCTCTGACTCAGGTGCCCCCGGAGCAGGACAGACATCTGGGACTGATGGGGATGGGGATTCTCCTCCTGCAACGCTACCTCTGAGACTGTGGGCCCGGCCCAGGGCACAACGGGGAGGGGGGCAGGTGGGCGGGAGGGACCCTCTGACAGAGACAGAGGCAGAGCTAGCACAGAACCACTGGCCGTCAGGCCCCTGCAAGCTGCCTGTCAGCCTCAGTTTCCTCATCTGTGCCATGAGGATAAACATGGCTCCACCCCTACCAGCCACATGACCTGGGCAAGCCCCTTGAGCCTCTGCCACCTAGTATGCGTTCCTGGAGCCCTCCCCTGGGCATACAGGCTGGTGGGAGGACAGACGCAGACGGATAGACAGACATCAGTGCACGAGGTCCGGGGAAAGCAGAGTGGGGGCGCGCCCAGTCCCACCCACTGCGCGCCCAGGCATTGGAGGAGGAGGGCAGGAAGGCTCGGACCAGGACCTTAAGGGGACGTCCCAGCAGTGCCCACCCTGGGGTGGCACAGCAGAGGGTTCCTGCAGGAAGAGGCCTGTCCCCTGTGCCTGCCACGCATGCCTCCTCCCCGCCCCCTCTGCCCAGCTCGTGTGCGTGAGGCCGAGGCCTGCACTGCCCTGGGCATGTCCTGTCCGGCTTCCCCCTGCTCCCCCGGGGGCCTGAGGGCAGTTCGGAAACTCGCTCGCCAACGCGAGTGTCCTGGCCCCCCCACTTCCGAGGAGTTGTCGGGGGGCTACAGGCCGAGGGCTGCCTGCCCAGCCGGTTCCCACCTGATTCCCGACTTCTGAGGGGTTAGTAGAGTTGCCCAAAGTGCACAAAAATGCTCCCAGCAAACGCTGCCTCCCCGGCTTCTCCGCCAAGCCCCTGGGCAGGGGCCCCCAGGACCGCCCCCCTCGGACACGGCCACTGAGTGCCCTCGGGCCAGGTTCACTGTCCACACAAATGGAATCAACCCCTGAGGGAACGAGAATCCCCCATAAAGGAAGACACTCTGCCACGAGGCCCCAGCCGGCCCCACTCTGCACACGGTACCTAGCCGAGCGGCGTGCCTGGCTAATTATGTTTAATTACGTATCATTTAAATTCAAGAATCCACTAAGAGAAAGGATTGCATTAGCACCCAGTCGGTGTTTGCCCACATGCAGCGGAAATCGTAGACTTTATGTCTTAATTACGCGACGCGCTGTGGGCTGCGGCTCCCGGGGAGCGGAGCGGGAGGGTGGGCACCGGTCCCTGCCCGCCAGCCCGAGCCCCCGACGCAGCTCCACTCCGGCAGGAGGGGGACCCACCGCACAGCTGGCCAGCGCCCTGTGATCCACGGGCCTCAGAGACGCCACAGTACGGAAGCCGAACCAAGAAACCCAGCAAAGGAGCCCCCTTGGCCATGGGGACAGAAGCAGAGGGTGAGGCAGGAGGGACCACGGAACCGCCTCTGAGCAGCCCTGCTGGGACAGAGCAGGACGTGGGTGACCAGGAGGCTGCGGGGGAAGGAAGGCAGGGAGAGGATGAGAGGGGGAGGGAGGACAGGGACAGGAAGGGCTGTGAGACAGACAGAAGCAGGGAGAGAGAGAGAAACTGAGTCAGAGAAAGAACACAGAGGAGAAGGTGGGACAGAGGGCAGAGAGGTAGCCACATGGAGGGCGGGAGAAGCAGAGGCAGAAGTGGCTGCGGACACAGAGACGGGTAAAAAGGAACAGAGAAACAGAGAGAGAGACAGCTCACAAACGGGGGTGGGGGAGGCAGACGCAGGGAAGGGGGGCCACTGCATTGCCAGGCAGACCGCCTGAGTCCCCGAGGGGCCGGGGCTGCCTCAGGGGTTCTGTGTCCAGGCCACACGGCCCCTGATAAGCCCCTCTGCCCACTGGGACATTGGGGAGGCCCCCCTTTTCCTGGACCCTACGGGGCTCCCCTTTGCCCTGCCCCAGGCCCAGCCCAGGCCCCCGTGCAGGGTGGGTGCCCGCTCCGTCCCCCGTGAGCTGTGTGCCTGGGGCAGGTCTCCTCGCCCACCTGAGCCTCGGTGTCCTCATCTGTAACGTGGGCACATGACTTGGCTCCCGGGGCCACTCCGAGAATGAAGCGAGGTGGGACTGGACGTGCGCCTGGCGTTTTGCCTGCACCTGGAGGACCCTCGAGCCAACGCTGGTGTCGACCCCCTCCCTGCCCGCCTCTGCCCTCTGCCCTCTCAGGGCTCACAGTGCAACCCCACACTCGCAGTCTGGGAAGGAAAGAAAAGGGCCAGGGCTCTGAGGGTGTTGACAGACTCA